GCAGAGTGAAAGTGAGACCTTACTGTCGCTCCAGAAAGACTGAGTGTCCAGTAGGGTGGCCCTGGCCAGCAGGTTATGTTCAAGGACACAGGTCCCTCCCCGGGTTTCTCAGTGGCTGAGCACTCCAGGGGGTGTACAGTGTTCCCCGACATTGTCTGAGGTCTTTTCTCCTTTCCTTACTCATGCCTACATTTCTCAAGAGAGAGTGTCTCTCTGGTTTATCCCTCCCCCAAGGTCCTGTTTGCTTAGGGTCCTTCTAGATACGTAGACTTTGTGAGATCTGCACACTGTTAGGCAATTTTAACTGCTAGTAATTTTCCTCTCACAGGTAACTGCTTTGTCTTGAAAACTAACCTGTTTAAATTTCTGTTTCTTACAATATCTTTTCTACATACAAAGTTTTGTGTTGCATTGTAAGCGTCATGGTTTCAGAGAGATTTAGAGCAGAGGAACATAATCCTTTCATGTAAAGAATGGTTCATTTTGCCTCACATCTCTGCATGTACGTGGGAGCACTTTACAAATACTGATACGAGTTTGGGGACTTAGTTTAGCATTGTAAGCACCTGCCTGGCAAGCACCAGGTCATGAGTTTGGTCCCTGGTATCAAAAAACAAAACAAAACAAAAGCAAATACTGATATACCTGGGCTTTACCTTCAGAAATGCCGTTTATCAATGGTGGGGCCCAGAAAGTATCAGGTTTTTTTTTTAAGTTTCCCAGGTGACTCTAATGGGAAACCATGTATGTGCACCTGTTGGTTAAGAGAGCTGGAATGTTCAGGAAAATACTGAACTCAGTTCTACAAGAATCACAGGGAACCTTGGGAAGATAAGGCTGAATTTTACCCCCAGGGAGAATTCGTTGTATTTGAGGTAAGATCTACTTTTGAAAAGCTTTCTTAGTTACCTTGATGTGCAGTCAGGCATGGTAACAGCATGCTAAGTCAGTCAGTGTTCCTCACACTTCATAGGGCATTGTGTTAAAATAGAAGTTCTGCCTTGGTAGGGCTGGGGAGAGCCTGGAAGTCTAGGTTTCTACCAGGTCCCCAGAGGTGCTCATGCTGCCGCTCTAGGAACCACATTTTGAGCTTTAGACAGTCACGTGGTATAGAATACAGTAAAGGGGGCTAAAGCATTGAGTGCCAGGGAGGAGGTGGTTTATACTAAAGTACATGCTGATAATTTTAGTGAAGTCATTTAAGACTCAGAAATGCATTCGTTTAGGTGTGGAAAGACATTGGCTTGTGAGGTAGAGCTGAATCCCATATTCATGGTTTCCTACCTAGGTGAGCTTGAACAAGTATTTCATCTGATTTTCAGTCTCAATTTCCAATCAGCAATATGGATACAGTAACCTCTTCCTGGTAGATTAGCCTTAGAGAAACTGTGTTTGAAGGACACAGCATGGTTTTCGGGATAGAATGTTTTCAGAGAAGCATAGCTTATCGCTGATGCTGTGCAGTGCTGAAGACGAGCTGTGATTCATGTGCATGAAAAGTACCATTCAGGACCTCTATTCGGTTTTGCACCAGAAGTTTACTTCTGTCCTCCGGTCAGGGGAAGGCTGTGCCACTTAAGTAGAAATTGTACTTGTTCCTGCCTGCTCCCGCATGATTAACTTTCGCATTATCTTAGATCTTGGCTTCATGAAATGTGACAAATGATTCACTGGGTCAAACAAATATTTTTTGAGCACCTGTTACTCTTAAGAGTCCAAGAATTGTAACTGTTGTGTTCCTGCGCACAGCGTTTTTCAGACCTTAAGTCTTTGAAGTTCTCTGTCCCCTTTGCCCCCCTTTGCTCTAAGAATCCCCCCGAAGCTCGTCTTCAGGTTGAGTTAATGCTTTCTTCACACCTATACACCCCATCGTAGCACGTGTCCCTACCAGCCTGCAAGCTTTTCTCCTCTTTCTTTCCTTTCTACAAAGTTCCTGAAGCCATGGGGTTCTGTGTACAGCCATGGGGCTGGCACTCAAATTTGTTGATCTGAATGTATTGATACGTGCAGCTTTGAAAGAATCTGAGGTAGGTGAGAGGATGAGAGAGGGCTTTCTCCAAAAGGCAATGCTTGACTTGAGATTTGCAAAGAGAAAGCAGGTAGGGGAGGAAGAGCAGCTGGGTGCTTTGGGGAGGTGTGAGGTGTGTGTAGGGTTAGGGGTGAAGCTGAAGAACAGGCAGAGGCTGGCACACGGCAGGCTTGAAGGGCAGTGAAGGAGTTGGATTTTATTTTGGGAGTGGTAAGAGACTGAGGGCGGGTTTTAAGGCAGGAATATATGGAGGGTGAATTAAGCAAGTGTTAGAAATGGACAGATAGGATATGCATTATATTGTGGAATTGAAAAATAGGGTGTGTATTTAAATAAAATAATTACCATTGAAGACAGATCACCATCAGTGTCCCCCTTCAGACATGTATACCATCACTCTAGCCATTTTCCAAAGCAGTTCTGTAAGTCCTTTTGTGAGTGTCTGTAGTTGTGCTGCTGTGGCCCCTTCAGTGTCCAGAAGCAATTCAAAGCATTTACCTCACATGATTATTTTGCCCCGGGGAAGAGCCAGAGGTCAGATCCAGGTCCATTTGAACGAGGACTCGCCATAGTGCTCTTGCAAAGCTGCTTTACACTGCATCTCAGCAGCAGGATTATCCACCATGCTTTGGGTCACACTTCATAATGACACTAACGAGGATTCCAGCACTGCTTCAGAAAGCGGCAAGAGCAAGGTGTGATGACACATACCCATAACCCCGCACGCAGGAGGCTGAGGCAGGAGGATTGCCATGAGGTTAGGCCAGCCTGGGCTACACAGTGAATTCAAGGTCAGTGTGGACTGTACATAATGAGACCCTGTCCCCCCAAAACCAAAAAGAAACACAAAAGTGGCAGGACCAATGGGCTAAGTGTGTAAATGGGGTGTGTTCAAAGGCAAGGGCCATATGGGAGGTAATGGCAATGTGTGTTTTGCTGTAATACATATTTTAAATTTAAACCTCCACCCTATGTTTCAATCACTCTTGATATTTTAATTAATTTATTTTATGTGTGGTAGTAGGGATTGAACTCAGCATCTTCACACATCCCCAGCCCTCTCTCTGTTTTATTTTGAGACAGGATCTCACTAAATTGCTAAGTTGACCAGTCCTCCTGCCTCAGGCTCCAAGACTGTTGGGATTATAGGCAGAGCTGTCACTTTTAATGCCTTTTTGGTCTTAGCTCCTTTTCCTCACAGCGTGGTTCTCTCTAGAGCACCCTTTGCCCCGTCTGCAAGATGGGCACAGACCTTGGAGCCTTATGCAGCTCAGCTAGTCCTTGCCAATGGGTGTCTGCCAAGTTGGGCAGAAGGTGTGGCTGTGCAGTGAACGTGATAGCAGGAGGCCCTTGGTAAAAGCTTGAGTAACATTGACTGGGTTTTAATACCATGTCTGCTATGTTGAAGCTATGTGAACATTGGAGATATTACATAACCTCTCTAACCCTCATCTATAAAATGGAGATAATGCTCATTCTCTAATGCTTTTTTTTGGCGGGGGAGGATCAAACTCACAACCTTGCGCTTGCCAGGCACGCACCTATGCTGCTGAGCTAAATCCCTAGCCCTCTAATGCTTTTTCTAAAGAACTGAATTGAATGATGATAGTGATGACAACAGTATTGACCATTCGATGAATATCACTTGTGTGTCAGGTCCTATGGCAGATATGTACCTTCATTTACTCATTAAACATGTATAAAATGTCAAAAACAGTGTTTAGTTCATGGCAGGTCCTCAGTAACATTCGAATCTCCCCACTCTGTCCTGAACATTGTATTTCCTACATCTTATCAGTACCTGATAGATTATTGTCTCAGCACCAAAAAATGACTTTATTTATTTCCATAAATTGACAGAATGAAACTAATGAAGATTTAATTTAAGCTCAGGAAGCAGCTACCAGGTAATTTCCAACATCATTTTATTAAGAAAGTACTTAGGATTTGAAAATCAACTTTGCTTTAACCAAATTATAATTTAATATAATTAGCCTTTGAATTTAATTTTTAGGTTCAGGGTCTCAGGCTGCTATAGAAACCACACACAGCTGTTGTCTGGACTAGGACATGGTTCACGTGCTACTTAGAAATTAGTTCCCACCTTGTGACCAAATATTCAGAATAAAGCATCTGAGTCCAAGTTCTATTGAGGGGCCTACGTGGGATATGGAAGGTAGTTCCAGGGTAGGCTGACTTGCATCCCTACCTAGATGCCGGCGGGTTTCTGATCATACAGGACCCTGACTCTGTCTGAAATAACTGAAGGTACCACTCAGTGTTCAGTAATACCGCTCACCATATCTGTTCTGTTTCTTTCTTTGTGTCTGTTTTAGGTAACCAGATCCTCTTTGACAACATAAAGCAAGGATTAAAACTAACTCAGTAGCAATCCTAGGATTATGGATTTAGGAAAGTAAATCTTGGGTTGACTGTGAGATGGTTCACATAAATCTCATTCTGCAGAAAGCAGCGATGGGGGAGCTCTGGGCCTGGGTTATTGTTGTCTCTGGCTCTGCAAGATAATTTGTATGAGTGTCATGGTCTGCTGTACATACGGTACATGCATGGGACATTATTACTGAAAAGCGTGGTGAGTTGCTGGAACAGTGATCACACCTGAAAACCGGCTGGGATTCTGGGGCTGTCTCTCATCCCTGTCGATAGAGTAAAACTTAACAAAAGCAGAAATCAGTCATTGAAACGCTCACCTCCTTACCTCTGTCTACTGTGCCACCCAAGTCAGGGGTTATATATCCGCTGGAGACTAGTACAAAACTAGAGAATTTTAGGACGTGATCTGGAGCTGACTTTGATACCATTGGTTTTCTTATTTTCTTAAAACCTCCTCCTCCTCCTTCTGGATGTAGCTTGTTCTCCATGCGCCAGTCTCTCATACTGCCTTAGACGCATAGGATAGGGAGTAAAACTAATATGCTGCCTTTCATTATTTCCACATTTTGTTTTCCAGCAACAGCTGCAGGCCTATGTGGCCTGGGTGAACGCACAGCTGAAGAAGAGGCCGTCGGTGAAGCCCGTGCAGGACCTGCGGCAGGATCTCCGGGATGGGGTGATCCTGGCAAATCTCATCGAGATTGTTGGTCAGTTGATCCTGGACTCTGATGCTACTATAGACCAGAATGTGACCACCTTTATCCTCTGTATGCCCTTCAAAACAGGTTGTTTCTTTTTTTAGACTATGTGGCAGTGGAAATAGAGAAGACTCAAAATACTTACCCAGACTGGGTGTGATGGCATATGCCTGTAATCCTGGTACTCTGGGAGGCGGAGGCAGGAGGATTGCAAGTTCAAGCCTAACCTGCACAATTTAGCAACTTAGTGAGATCCTGTCTCAAAATAAGAAGTGAAAAAGGAGCTGGGATATAGCTCAGTGTGAAGGCCCTCGGGGTTTATCTGTTTATTGCTCACTAAACACTGTATTATGTTTAAGAAGAGGATAAGCACAAGAGTCCCCATCTAAGTGGAAAGACTGGACGTGAAGTCGATTGCGTTCACATACTTAGTACTGTGATAGGATGGGTACAAAGAGGAGTGCTAGAGAGCACACTCCGCCCAGTGTTAGGCTTTCAGGGACGCCTGACTAGAAGCATTAGTGTCTAAACCGAAGCCTGCCAAAAGAAATGATGTCACAGAGTCCAACCAGATGTGACGTCTAAGCCCAGACCAGCAAAGGAAGTAGTAGCCAGGCAGAAAAGGACCCCTTTGTGTTTGTTATCAGCAAAAAGACACCTCGGTGGCATGGATTTTTCCCGTGTGAAGCCCTGGTGCCGTTCTTACTAGATGGCATTATAATTTATTTCTGTAGCATTTGCCCAAAGTTCCGCAGTTAATTTTCTCATTGAATGGTCACAGTCATTTGTTTACTTACCTGTCTTGACTATATAGACAGAGTTCCTCAGGGGCACACACAGTACAGTCTTTTTTGTTTGTTCCCACAGTCTCTAGCCAGGTGCGCATTGCAAATACTGAAACATTTATTAGTCAGCTGGTTTTGCTTTAGACTCCTTGAGGGATGTAGGGGTTGCAGGTAAAACACAAGAAGCAAGCGTTGTAACGGGAAGCTTATCCTTGAGTCCTTTGTGGGGGCAGCGACAACGTCTATAGTAATCCAGCATTAAACACTTTCTATTTTGTTTAATTTCATTTAATCATCACACCCTTGACAAACAGTATTGTCCACTTTAGGAAACAAGTTTAAAAGAAGATTTATACAAATAAATAAATTCGTTTAGTCAATAGTAGTTCATAGTGTCAGACAAAGAAGTTAAGCACACTATTTTTATTTGTTTATCTTGGTACTAGGGATCAAACTCCTGACCTCACACTTGCCAGGCAGATGCTTAAGCTACTGAGCTAAATCCTCAGCCCCTATTTTGATTTATTTTTGATGTGGTAATACATACGGGTTGGGTATCCTTTGTGTAAAATATTTGTGGCTAGAACTTGTCAGATTTTGGATTTTGGAATATTTGACTGGAATGTCACTAATCTGAAAATCTGAAATCTTCACAGCAATCATGCTTAGCCTGCACTATGTTTTACTCATGGTATGAAATCTAAAAAGACTAAGCAACTTCGCAAGGTTACATAACTGAAGGTGCTAAATAGAGGTACAAACTTAGACCTGCTTTAATTCCAAAGTCCATTTTATTTCTTTTATTTATTATTATGATGATTATTATTATTATTCTTGGTACTAAGGATCGAACTCACTACCTTGCACTTGCCAGGCAGTTACCAAAGTCCATTTTAAACACTTAATTTTTCATCCATTTAAATAAGCTACATGTGGAGCCTATTTTTTGCGTTTTTGGCAGGAAATCCTAAAGGATATGAAGTTAAAAGCCTTTTCTCCTGCTGTGTCTCCCCACCAGCTACTCACGCTCCTTCCGGAGACAGCTAGTATTAGCAGCTCTTCCTCCACCTACTCGGAAATGTACGTCTAGAAACAGTGTAAAAGTCCAGATTTTAAAAAGTGCGTTCATTCTCACCCTCTGCAGTGTTCTCTCTCTCCTCCTCAGGCTGCCTCCCCAACCCTTAGAAAGCAGTGTTTTTTTCTGTCTTTGAAGGTGCTGGGGGCTGAACCCACGGCCTGGTGTATACTAGACAAGTGATTCTACAGTTGAGCTATGTTCCTTTAAGCATTATTTTAAATTAGGACTTTGCTATATAAAAATAGCTTCAAGGTCTCTATCAAATTTGTATGTTTAACCATTAACTTTTTCTTGAGTTCTAGACTTGAATATCTAATTTCCTAATCAAAATCTCTACTTTGATCTCTGCATCTAATATGCAGCTCTGATTTCACGTGTGCTCATCAGCACTTTTGATTTTCTTCCCGACACTAATGCCTTTACCCTCCAGGTTCCTTCATCTAAGAAACACATCACCTTATCATCCACCTGGTTGTTAATGCAGGATAGAAATCCCCTCTAGTACTAGGAATTGAACCCAGGGCCTCACAAATACTAGGCAAGTACTTTCTTTCTCTTTTTGAGATAGGTTTTCACTGTGTAGTTCAGGCTGGCTTTGAGTTCACTGTGTAGCCCAGGGGGACCTTGAACTTGTAGCAATCCTCCTGCCTCAGCCTCCCGAGTACGGCCCACCATGCCTGGCTAGGCAAATAGTTACTACCAAGTTACCTCCCGAAGCCTCAGAAGCTGTTCTTAATTATGTTCTTTCCCTATGTATCCTAGCTAATCCTTTGCATATACTGTGGGGTTTATATTGAGAATATAATCAATATCTGACTTCCCACCAGTCATCCTCTTCCACCTGAACCCAAACCATTGTTACCTCTTGCCTTGACTATTTTCATTAGACTTTTGACTAATCTCTCTTCCCTCTCAATCTGTATCTACACAGAGTCGGCTTTGGAAAACCAACAGGAGAATGCTAATCCTTTGCCTGAAACGCTGTTGGCTCCTTGTTCCACTTAGAATTCAAGTCCTTTCTAGTGGTCCAGGAGGCCTGACTACGGCTTGCCTTTGCCCGCCTGTCCTTCCCCTGCTGGGACTCACCGCCTTGCTGTTTCCCTCCGCTCACTGCTCTTCCTGCTCTTCCACACACACACACACACACACACACACACACACACACACACGGAGCTCATGCCCAGCTTTGGGTTTGTATTGTGGTTTCCCAGGCTGGAACGGGTCCTTTTCAAATCCTAACATTTCTTGTTTTAGCCAGTCTCTGCACAGACACCGTATCAGAGAGGCCGTGGTCACTCCTTTCTATTTTTCCTCACGGTGCTTACCATCCCCTGAAGTTACGCGGAGCATTAGCTTGTTGACTTGGTTGTTTTCTGCTGTCCTTACAGAAGTAAACTCTGCGAGGAAAGGGGCTGTGTGTACCTGGGTCACTGTGCTCTGGTGCCCATAACGATGCCTGACAAACAATGGATGTTCGCTGAACGGATAAGTGTACACACAGTCACTTCACAGGACCCGAGTGCATAGAAAGACCCTCCGGGAGGCTTTGCATTTTCCTCTTCCCCACCCAAATTACAGACACCAGGATTCATCTCACTTGCGTGTTTAGGGATGATTTTAGTTTTCATATCAAACTCCTTCCTAGGTGTTTGGTTGCTGTGAAATGCTGAACATACTGTTCCCTGTAATGTATTTTCTCTATCTTAACAGCAGGAGAAAAGCTGAGTGGAGTGCAGCTGAGCCCTAGTAACCAGCAAGAGATGAAGGATAATGTGGAGAAAGTTCTACAGTTCGTTGCCTCCAAAAAGATTCGTATGCACCAGACTTCAGCTAAAGGTCAGCGCAGTGGATGCGTACGATCATCCCAGCCTCACAGGCCTTTACCAGTCTCTGAAATGTCGCTGGTTGTGTAGCCAGGGGCTCTGAGCAGACTGGAGGATGCTGAGGCCCGTGACCTTGTGTCATTTGTCCAAAGTTTTCCTGCTGGGATAGAGCGATTATCAAAATCTGAGTTCATTGGAAACCCAAATGGAGACAGAAGTTCTTTATGCATTTTAATTGAATACAGTTATACTTAATGTGTGTGGGAAAATTAATTATAAGAGATGAAATGACAAAATTGGAATATTAATTTAATTTAGTTTATTTTTTTGGTACCAGGGATCAAACTTATGACCTTGTACTACCGGGCAAGCATTTGAGCCTGAAAGCTAAATCCCAGGCCCCATGCGATAGTAATTTTAGAATGTATCATTTATCAAAAATGAAGGTAGATTACATTTTATAAAGTTCCTTGAGCTTCATGACCAAGTTATTAGTTCAGATTGTCATAACCTATGCTTTTTCCACCCAATTTTCCAGAAGGAAAATTTTATAGCATTTCTTTCTTTTTTCTTTTTTGGGCATCGCCATAGTCCAGGCAGGAGGAGAGGGGCTCCAATACTGCTGCGTATCCCGTCCTCGAGGGTGCCATGACTCACGTAGATCTGCCAGGCTGCGAGGCCGGCGCAGCTCAGGTATCCCGAGAAAGCGTAGCCTCCCTCGTGCTCTGGCTGCTTCTCGAGAACTGCCCATGTCTGGCTCTAGCTTCGGATTCAGGTCTTATTGCCTGTGGGTCTGATGTGAGTGATAGCAGAAAGAGCCCTCCTTCCGGAGGGATAATGACCGGCGCAGCCCCAATGAAACAGGAGGCAGGAGTCGCTCTTGTGGATGACAGTTAACTGCTGGTTTATTTACGCGGGCTCTGGTTTATATATTTGGCCGTGACCAATCACAGGCTGCCATGAGGAAGCAGGGCGGGAATGGGACGCAGGCTCTGGCTACTATATCCAGCTGTGGCCAATCAGGAGTTGCCACAGAGTACGGAGTGAGCACGAAGTACGCACGGGTTGGCTAATTTAAAGAGGGACGTAGCGCATTGCGGAAGCTAGCGTGGTCCTTAGTCCCGGGTGGGGTATAGTATGTTGAGCGCCTGCGCCCAACAGGATAACTCAGTCATTCGGGTAGGCAGATCCTGACCACGGAGGGCATTAGTAGAAGGCATCAAAATGACTCTTGTCTAAGCTTTGCATATTTGAGAGGTTTTGAAGCTAAACAGATAGAATTTTACCCACCTCCTTTCAGTTATGTTCACCAGATCTATCGTATATTGGTTTTTTAAATCTGCTTGCTTCTTCTGTTTTTTCTCCCACCAAGGAGAAAAAGGAGCACAGTGTTTAGAAGGCCGGATATCTTTGGTCCCCATGTGGAGTAGGCTTGGGAATCTGGCCCAGTAAAGTCAGCTATTTTGAGGGAACAGTGCCATCCAGGGCACCATTTTCTTTTACCTGGAGAAATGCAAGTTTCCTACTTAGTCCTGCCGTGTTGATTCTTGTCCTTCATTTTTCCTTTCCACCCTGCACCACAGTGACCTAAGAGTGCCTATGCCTGCTGCTCCTGCATCTGAGGCCTTCCCCTTTCCCCCTAGACTTGGTGCTCTGGCGAGACTGATTTTCTTTTAGTTCCATCACCACAGACATATAGTGTGCCTGACATAGGTAACTTAAAAGTTCCCGATAGCTGCATTACAAAAAAGAATTAGGGGGCTGGGGATTTAGCTCAACGGCATAAGCGCCTGCCTTGCAAGCAGGCAGTCGTGAGTTCGATCCCCGGTACCGATAAAAAGGAAAAAGACAAAACAAACAAACAAAAAAAAGAACTAGATGAAATTAATCTTAATAATATTCTAACTCAGTATATCCGAAATAATACATTAGTATGATATCAATATAAAGTTATCAAATATTCTTCATTCTATGCTAATGAGATACTTTGCATTCCTCTACATGTGTTAAGTACTATAGTTATAGCACATTTCAGTGCAGAATAGTCACATTTTAAGTGCTCCATAGCCATCTGTGGCTCATGGCTGTCATATGGGACAGTGTAGCTCTAGTATGTCATGCTTCCTTATCTGTAGACCTTCATAAGTACTGTTCATTTTCCCCTTCTCGCTTCATCTCTAATGAGCCACTATTCATCAATCTAGTCTTAGCTGAAAACTCACTTCCTTTAGGAATACATACATCCCTGATCCCTATAAGACACCTCTGTTCTGAGCTCCCCAAGATTTGTAGTTCTCTTGTCTAAACAGTATCATCCTTTATTATGCTCACTTTTAAACGGTCTTCTATCTCCCTCTTTGAACATGCCTCTGGAGGACAGAGACCTTGCTCCCTGGTTCACTAGCAATGCACACGCACACCTATGTCCTGGGCCTCCACTTTTCTCTCAGGATCTGTTCTCTTCTCTCCTGCAGATATTGTGGAAGGAAACCTAAAATCCATCATGAGGCTGGTCCTTGCCTTGGCAGCTCATTTCAAACCTGGTTGTAGCAGGACAGTGAGCCAAGGACGGGACTCCAGTTCCCTGCCACAGAGCCACCAGCCCCACTGTGCCACTGCGGTGGCTCAGGGAGCAGCTGCCGCCCTGGCTGACGTGTGCCATGACGTGTCACGGTCAGGACGGGATATATTCCGGTACAGACAGAGGTAAGGGTGAAAATGGGAAGCCATATATGTAGTAGATAGAAACACCATCCACACAGCCCCATGCTACAGAAAGAGCATGCAGTGGAGGCTGGGGAGTGCTTACTGAGCAGTTAGCAGAAGGTAAAGGAAGCATAAGTGAATGCTGTTGCTTTGGTGCCCCAGTGTGTGTGTGTGTGTGTGTGTGTGTGTGTGTGTGTGTGTGAGACCTTGTCTCACCATATACTTCAGGCTGGCCTTAAACATGCTAGCCCAGGCTGGCCTTGAACTTGAGGTGATCCTCTTGCCTCAGCCTCCAGAGTGCTGGAATTTCAGACATGCCCCACCATGCCTAGCCCACATTTTAGGTAATTATCTTTGGCACAATGTGTTTGCTTCTGGGGGAGTCCCTACCCTGAAATCCAGAGGGCTAAGCTGTCCTGGAGAGTCATGCAAGAAGTGCTATGGGGTTGCATACCAGCTGAGAAAGTGTCACTCCAGGGTATTGCAGGGATGAGCAAAGTGACTTGTGTCTTCCTTCTGTAGTAGGTTTCAAGTGTCTCTGAGGCAGGTTATGCCTTCCTCTTACCTATCACGTGCGTGGATTTGGTAGTATATCGTAGCAGCACAGTTGTCTAAACTGCAGAACTGACGCCCCTTCTTTGCTGCTGCCCCTGGCTGTAGGAACAGCAGCATGGATGAGGAGATCGAGAATCCGTACTGGAGTGTGCGGGCGCTGGTGCAGCAGTATGAAGGGCAGCAACGGTCGCCGTGTGAGTCCAGCTGCTCCAGGTAACTGTGGCCTCAGATTCACTGCCACCAGCTGGGGTTCTCATGGAGAGCCTCAGGGCTGTCAACTTCAGGTAGCAACAACAAGAAATAAGGCATCTAACTTTATTTTCTTTCCTCGTTTTATATTTGGCTTTAAAGAGATGGCCCTTAGCACTGTCCATGGCTTTGTGTTGGTTGACAGGGTGAATTGCAGGTAGGGGGTTGGTGAATTTTGTATAGATGAAAACTGTGCAGAGCCTCAGTGTGACCACATGGGGGCATGACTTGGACCTGTGAGAGCCCGGCCCAAACATAGCTGTCACCGTGTATGATTCAGTTCCCTAGCACTACCAGAGAGCCTGGGTGTAATTCTTTTAAGTTACAGCCTGAGAAAGCTGTAGCTTTAGCTCATAGCAGGATTAAAACTTGAGCAGAGTTACCTGAAGCATGGGTGTTCCCAGTGTTCACTTGCAGGGCTGAGAATTATGGTAGTTACTGTGCACTGGAGTGGGCAGATGATGTTTGTGACCTTACAACCAAGTGCAGAGACCAGAACAGGACACCGCGTGCTAATAAAAGTCTGACCAATGCCAAGTTATAGTGGCAGAAAAAGATTATTTGCTTGGCTCACATAAATCATGCACCTATAAACACATCCCCAGATCACATTAGCTTATTTACTAATTCGATTTTGTTGCGGAATCATATTTAATTTATGCTCTGATGACCATTTCTTTCCTACTCCATCCCAGGGTAAACCTAATTACCCCTTATGAGCATTTTATATAATTTTGTTTTCTTCCTCCTTGTCTTTTTAAAAATTACTTAATTTGCAGTGCCGGGGATTGAACCACGCATGCTATGTGAGTGCTGTGTCACGCTACATCCCCAGCCCATCTTTCTCCTGTTTCTTTTCCTCATAAAATTCCATTTATTTTGATGGAATTTTCTACTTTATTGAGGTCATGTGGCATTCTTTCCAGGAATTTTAATATACTGGTAACCTTGTTCAACTTTAAAATTTTACATTTAATAACTGTGCCTTTTTATTTGTAAAATGCATATAGCATGATATTAATCATTAAACGTTTCTTAAAGTGTATAATTCATTGTCATTGAGTGCCTTCATCATGATGTGTAACCTGTACTTCTGTCCAGCTAGAAGACATCTTCATCATCTAAAAAGGAAACCCATACCCATTAAGCAATAGGTGAAATTTTAATGAAAATCTAAACCCTTCTTTTCTTGCTGGACTATCACTGAGTACAGAAGCAAAATGCTTCCTTCTGTAAAGAGATCTGTTGCCCCCTGCTTGACTACAGGCCTTGCACTCTCCCGAGCCAAACAGTGCCTGCCTGAGTTAAGTGAGGTCTCCACCTGAGAGTACCTGCCTTCTTCTGGGTAGGAAGCCTCGGGCGGGGCTGGACCTGTGAGTCTGAGTGAGGCCCCCGTGAGATCAGGGTGCTGGGGGCTCATGGTCACTTTTTTTTCCCCGAAGAGAGCAAGGAGACTAGTTTGTTCTTTCCCTTCCCTTTTCTGCTTTGGCCATTTTCTTCAGATACTAGCCCCTCCTTTAGCTTTTTGGGACCCTCAGTCAGCACTCTGCCTTTTTCAGTGAGTTGGAGGGAAGGGAAGCAGAGGGCTTCTGTCAGCTACCTAGGGACCCAGCAAGCTCGGTCACCCTCGCAGCCCCTAAACCCCACCTCGGGAGCCTTGCGGCCTCCAAAGTGACCCGGAGGCTGTGGATGGAGAGTGCTCAGAAGACAGGACAGATAAACCCCTGGTGTCGCCATTCCCTTCCCCTGCTGCTCAAAGGTCGCCCTGGCAAAGCTCTGCCCGCCTGTTGCTTCATAAACCTCTGGCCAGCCTCTCGAAATACCCTAGCAAAAGGATCCTGGGGGCGTGGGGCACGAAACGCCCGAGGGCGAGATGAAAAGATGGGCGACCCGCGGGGTCCCGGGGGACACGGTGTCTCACCCCACCCCCTCCCCACCCTCCCCCACCGGCGGGCTTGCTGCAGCTTAGAGCTGCCCGGACCGCGTCCACGGAGGGAGGGGCCGGCCACGCTTCCTGCGCCAGGACCCCGACAGCGCTCCTCGTGACTCCCCACCCGCCGCCCCTCCCCCGCCATCCTGGGGCTCCCGCGCACCCCCACCCCACCCCGCCCCTACCTCTCACCCGAGCGCTCGCTCCGGCGTGGGCTTGGGGCGCTGCCTCGCGGCGGGTGACAGCTCGGGCTGGGTGGGGTGGGGTGGGGTGGGGTGGGCAGGAGGGCGAGAAGGGGGGCGGGAGGCGGTGCGGGGAGGCGTCGGCGGCACGCCCGGCCGCCCGGACTCCAGCGGCGCGCAGCCCTGCCCGAGGCGCCAGCCTCCGGGTGGACATGGGCTGAGATGCCTGCGCTCCGGGGGACGCCCGGGGCCACGCGGCCGCCGCGCCCGAGCCCGAGCCCGCGCCCGGGATGCAGCTGCCAGGGCCCGGCCGCCCGCGCGGGGAGGCGGCTTCCGCCGAGGCCCGGCCGCCGCCGAGTCTGAGCTGCCGGGACAGCGCGCCCCGCACCGGGGAGCGTCCCGCCTCCGCCCGCCCTGCTCGCTCCGGCGCTGCCGGGCTCGTCCGCGGAGTCGCGCTTCGGGTCCCCGCGCGGGGAGACATGCCCGCCCCTGGGAGCGAGGTGACTCTCGGCCTCCCGCCTCACCCGGGGAAGCAGGCTTGCTGAAGCCGAGCCTCGAGGGGACCATGGGAGGGACCCAAGTCAAATGGTGAGCGAGCCGCTGTGGCCGGGGTGGGGGGCGCCCGGGGGACCGGCCGGGCCTGGAGGATGCTCCAGACCGAGGGATGTGGAGGCGCGCTACAGGGTTGGACAGGACGTTGGTCAGGGATCATCACTATGAAATACGGCGGTTTAGGAGTGGAGCCAGCCAGAGGAGAAGGGGTGGCTTTTGGCCCTGTGTCTCTGCTAGGAGGGTACTTAAGGAAGGGCCAGGACCCTCATCGCCCCTGACCAATTTAAAAATAACGGTTTGTGTCTATAATCTGGAAATGTTTTTGCTGGGGTATAGCCTGTCTGATAAAGATGGAAGAGGTACTAGACCCTGGCAATGAAGAAATGTATCAGCCCCACTGGATTTCCAATCAGGTGTAATTTTGGCCTCAGAGAGGATTACGATGGTTTGTTGAGAATTATTTGTTTATAACATAGGGCTTTTACACTAATCAGGGAGAGGCCCAAATCTTGGAATCAATTAGCATTAAAATACTTTTCCCTGCCCTGAGGCAGAGGGTTGACCGCACCTTCCTTTCCCGGCAGATACTTAGGGAGGCAGCAAGGTGCCTTAGGATTTTTCTCCCCTGGGTCCTTAATCTTTTGACCTGGCCATCTAGTTTCCACGGTTTACCTCTGGCCTCACCCTGGTAGCCTTAATTCAAGAAAAAGAAATGTTGTTTTCCTTTGACTGCTCTGCCACTCCCCCCCGTGGGGCTGGGTATGCAGACGTCCACCTCCCTCTGCCCTTATATGGGAGACAGCTCTCTTGGGAGGAAGGAGGTGGGGCTGAGCATGCGTCTGTGCTTCTAGGAAAGTAGTTTTCCTGCATCCTAGACTCGCGCTACATGCTCCCCACCTTTGTCTCGCACGTACTTTCTGCGATCCAGCCACATGCAAGCAGTGGAACGTGTCATCCATAGCACCTTGGAGGCTGAGAAAGCAATGTTGTCTCAGTCTTCAAAGAAAAGCCTGCCATGATAGGTTTCTTTCTGCACCTAGATTTCCATTTCTGCAAGATGTAAGTGCTGAGGCCTGAGAGATCATAAATCTGTTCTCCTTTTAAATGATAAAGTACCCCTAGACAGTAGCTTTTCCAGCAGCTAATTCGTGTTGGCCTGAAGTCAGATTGCTTAAGTGGTTAAAGATGGATAAGAGTGTTCTAGAAACCACTTATCATTTCTGAATACCACTTCTTATCACCTCCCATCTCTTTGGGTCATCTGAGTTAGGGATCTATAAATACAGTTTAGCAGCTTCTTTAGCTTGAAGTAGCACAATACCTTAATTTTTTCCCCTGTAGTTCTAAAAAGGAAGAGAACAGAGTATTGATTGAGGTCATTCCCACCAAAGCTCCTGTGGGCATCAAAGAAGGTGACACATTCTTCTCAAGCTGCTTCACAGGTTTTGAAATCTCTGGCTCTTTCCTCTATGTCTGGCTCTTGTTTTTTGCTGGTTTCTAGGAGGATGAAATGTTAACTCCTGATCGGTGTTGTGAGGATTAGCCTGGGAGGCTTCAGGGGCACATTAAGTGGGTCAGTGAATCCTAGACACTTGGACTGTTGTCTGGGTGATGGATTTGGAAAGAATGCCTAAGAGGGGGGCTGGATCTGCGGACCCCACAGCCCCTGAGATTCTTTCATTGCTGATGTTCTCAAGATGCAGTGCAGAGAGAAATGGCTCTTCAGATGCCTTTGTCCTTATCAGAAAGGCATCCATCCTGTGTTCCCACCTTGTTTGACTGATCTGCTGTTGCTCCAGAGAATCAAAGTCATACTTCCCTGAAAGTCTGAATAATTCTTCCCAAGACTCGTAGATACCTGGCTCACCTGTCATTTGTTTGTTGCATAAACAGAACTTTTGGGTTGTTGAGAGGTTTCTGATGACAGCTAGAAAACATGAGTAAGTTTCTGATGGCAGTAAAGCCAGGGAACCTTCACTAGCCCAGCAGGTCTTTCTTCTTTTTGACCTGTTACCCTTATCATGTTCTGGTTCAGTTGCTGATAGATTTCTGTTCCTCTTCCTTGCCTGATACTGTGTACACGAGCTACCCTCACCCAGTTCCTTCGATCAGCCTAGAGCTGCTCTGTGGTCAGTCTGCTGGTACTGCTTGTATTTCGACATCAGGGGACTGGAAATAAGATTTTCTTCCAGATCCAAAAGCTTCTAAGACACATAATGGCACCAGTATATGAACATGGGCCTGGCAGTGGTGGTGGTAGAGGCAGTGTGGGAGGTAAATAACCAACTAGCAAAATTTTAAATGCTAGACTAGTCTTCCAATACTTCTCTTAATTATGCTTAAAGACAGCTTCTGTTGTATAAAAGTCTTCCTAGGGCCATGTTATTCATTCATGCATTGATTTAATTCATTCAAGTTCATCATTCAACAGATCTGTGTTCTTGCTACAGGTTAGCTATTGTGGCACTTGGAATGAGATGAATAAAAGCATTTCTTTAAATTGTGAAAGTTCACTTCTAAAATAATGCTTGCTTCTCTCCCTTTTTCTCTGACCACAGCTTGACTTCACCCAGTCCAATCCACAGTGCGAAGAGCGAATCTATTATAACCCAGGCGGAGGAGAAGGCAGATCTTGTGATTATTCCCTCAGAAGCAATAGCGAGCAGAACAGGTACGGTTTGCTTCCTTGCCCTGGCTGCTTCAGACAGTGACGCTCAGAGAAGAGTTTAGAGTCCTGACTACTGTCTGGAAGCTTCCTGGCCCGTTCCCCTCCATGGCCTGTGCTCTTGTACCTTGGAACCAATTAACATGGTTATCCTTTTACAGAGTGTCCTTTCTGGTGTCCTCGATGTCAAAAATCATGTGTACCATAGACAATCCTTTGCTCAGCTGGCTGCCTGTGAATTAGAAAATGACTTTGGGATAATTAGCAGCCCTACTTGAGTAAACAATTTTATTATTTCTGTCTCAAACAAATAATTGGGGCTCTCGCCTCACTAACGTTGGGGCCAGGAACACCTAGTATGAACAGAGATGTCTGTGAGAACAGACGGGAGGGAGCAGGTCCTCTTGGCCTGAAGGCTACATAAAGGGCTCTCTTTGTACAAGACCTCTTAACCTGGCTCACTTTGAGTCATTTGTTTGTTGCATTCAGCACAGAAGTTAGACTGAATTTCAGCCACCCGTAACTGTAGTGAAACTGAAGCCATCAGAAGAAAAACTAAATTCTTCTGTGCTCTGTTCTCCTTCAGCCTTGGCATTAACACTGACAGTCAGTCATGCTCTTGAGTCACAGATTCCCTGTGCCTTAGGGAGAGAGGAAGGGAACATTTATTGAGTGCCTGCTCTGAGCCAGGCACCTCTAGGCTCTGCACATAATTTTGTTTGTTTGTTTGTTTTGCGGAGCTGGGGATAAAACCCCGGGCCTTGGGCAAGCTGAGCAAATACTGTAGCACTGAGCTACATCCCAGCCCACAAGTTACTTCTTTGAGTCTTCAACATGTCCTAGAGGAATTATCATACTCTTCTTATGAAGGAATTTAAAAAGTTTATATCCTTCTGTATACCATAGTGCATTTCAAATGACAGTATATATAGTTAGAATAAAAGTAGGCAAGGAAATCAGAGCAAAAAAGGCTTAAAACTAGAGAAATCAGGCCAGGAGCAATACTAAATTTGTAAGTGTACTTTCACTGGTTTGTTTCCCGTGTGAGGTGGATTCAGTTATGATTCAAGGCTGTCAAAGGAATGTTGAATTATGGTCTCCTTTCTAAACTCCAGAGCAACCAACAGGAATTTTTTGTTTTTTATTTTTGCTGTGTTCACATTTTTCTTCTTTATACGTGGCAAAATCAGGCTCTGAGAATGGCAGTCTGAAGAACAGAGTAAAATGAAGTGTCCCGTACCAAGAGGGCTGCCGGGGTTACTGCATAAGGGTTTCGGAAGACAGATTTTCCTAACAGGGTGGCTGATGCTTCCTGGAGCCTGGAGCCAGAGCTGGCGTCCAGATCATTTTGCCTCACAACCCCACCTGGTGGAGAGTCCACTCTGTCCGTGAGGACAGGTTCAGAAAGCAGGTGACCTGAACCTCTGAACTGCTCTGTGATTGCTTTCTCCTGGAAGCCGATTTTCTTCAGCATGAGCTATTTCACCACTTTTCATTTTCCAGAGGAGACAGACTCTCCATTATCCCGAGACTGGCGGCCAGCGAGCCCTGGACCCTATCTGGAGACCTCATGGGAAGAACAGCTGTTGGAACAACAAGAACATTTGGAAAAAGAAATGGAGGAAGCAAAGAAAATGATATCAGGACTGCAGGTAGCTCTTTCCTTGTAGTTTGCGCTTAGCGTACGGAGGCTACTTTTGTCACTACTATCAATTGAAAAAAACCTGCTTTTAGTTTTGTGTGAGGCCGGAGTTGAACGGGAAATTAAGATAGTACACAAAGCAAAAATTCCTTACACGTGTGCTTTAAATGGACTTTGGGGACTGTTGTTTATAGCTCAGCTGCTGGGACTCCTTTCCCAGCCCCTGTTAAACCCATACTGCAGCTGTGCTTCGCAGGTAGCTTTCTCTCCTTTCCCTTGCTGCAGACTAGGCAACTGCAGCTTTCAGGGAAGAAGGAAAAGTCCTGAATTTTCTCCCAGGAATTCTCCAGCAGGAAAGGTGGAAGAGCCAGTGGTGCCGCCAGGTTTCCGTTTGAGGCTAGCTAATGATTTAGCTCGTGCTTAATGTCTTTGCAAGTGGTTGCCCCGGCACAGTGATCAGGTAGGAGAGGTTTTTCTTGCGCAACAAAGCCCCTCTGCTTTTCCCATACCTGCAATTGCCCCAGAGACTAGTTGACCTGTTGGACGCAGTTCCCACCCTAAATGACCCCCCGGATCCTGTGTCTTTGTGTGACTGGCACCCTTGTGGTGCGCTGATGACCCTGAAATTGCTTAGGAATATTCCTTTCTGTTTGTGCTTGGAACTGCACAGCTTTGGAATTGTGAAATATTTATGGACACATAAACAAAGCCCACATTATGTGTGTGGTTCTGGCAGCCGGCAGGAGACGGAGGGCGTGCTCTCAACCAGCCAGCAACAGGGAGGGGACACAAAGGGTTCCTGGAGAAGAAAGGCGATTGGTGCAGTGGGACAATAATTTGCATAATGTATGCTGTAGGAACCCAGAAGGGTTGGAGGAATATTTACTGTCTAAACATTCCCAGAGAAAAGTTGTGATTTCCCCCCTCATTTGCTCTGTATTTTAAAAATAAATGTCTGGCTTGTGAGGCCTTTGAGATCCCTTTTCTGCCTCTTCATTGAGGAATATGTTAACGGATTCTTTTTTACCTGTGTTTTAATAGGAAAATCCTATGGAAAACTTTAAGATTACACCCAACCAGGTTTTTCCACAGGAAAATTTGCATTATATGAACTCTTGTATCCATCAGTTTGGCTCTCAGTTTAGTTTGTATGTCTTGATCTGGGAGAAATTTGATGGCAGATGGAACAGAAAAGAAAAAAATCGACAGGCAGAAAGTCAGCATCTCTATCTTCCTGACAAAGAGGAGTTTTAATTCACAGCCACATGATCACAATGAGAATTCAGTTCTATTGTGGAATACAAAAGGACTCACAGCATCCACTGGGCTTCTTAACTCTTCTTCTAATCATGAACAACTTGCATGCTAAGCCACTTGCAGGATTTCTGACTTATTAGTATGTCTCCGTTAGGATTTGTCCAACAGTTTGCCATTAGAGTCACAATTTTGGTAAAGTCAGTCCCTTTAGCTTCCTACAGCTCTGTTAAAATTATATACATGTCTGTACCTCTGGCCATCGCTCTATGGGATAACTGGATTCATTTAATTTGCTAAAATTATTCTTAGTGTTTAGTCATCGAACTATTGACTAGATTTTTCTTTTTAAGGTATTGGGGATCCAACCCAGGGCTTTTGCATTGAGCTACATCCCCAGCCCCTACTAAAAATTTTGTTTTGAAGGTACCAGGCTTGGTGGCACACACCTGTAACCCCCGCCCAGGGAGGCTGAGTCAGGAGGATCACTGAAGTTTGAGGCCAGCCTAGGCTAGGCAGCCAGGACAATTCTTTACTGCTTTCCAGCTGGTAAAATTTAATCTGAACAGCTCCAATCTGAAATATGTTCCATTGCTTCTGAAGAGTAGGTTTGTTTTGAAATTTTCTTCTGAGAGGGAGGGCAGGGATTTAGCTCAGCGGCTGAAACACTTGCCTGGTAAGTGCAAGGTTGTGGATTTGATCTCTGGTACCAACCAAATAAATAAATTTTCTTCTGGGGACATGGGGCTCTGGAGCAGAGGTTCAATATGTGTGCAGAGGGATGAAAGAGGCCCAGAGCATGGCCTGGACAAGAGGAGCTACCGTAGTTCCAAGGGAAGCGACTGGGGGTACTGAGAGAGCAGTTACCAAGGGTGTTTCCAGAGGCAATCGGGTCGTGATTTTAATTTGCGGTGAGCTTACCAAATTCAGCTCTGGACCAAGGCATCTGAGAGAGAGTGAAATTTGTTTCCACCTTTGTGGTTATTCAGGCCTTACTGCTCAACGGATCCTTACCTGAAGACGAACAGGAGAGGCCTCTGGCCCTCTGCGAGCCGGGAGCCAATCCCGAGGAGCAGCTGGTAAGCCCCACTTCTGGCCAGACACTGAATCTGCTTGTGTGTTTGACTTATTTTTAGCATTTGACTCTACCGACCGTAACTTCTTGAACTCCTCTCTTTCTTGACCCCAACTCTTTGTTGCTTTTGTCTTTAAAACTGTCATGACTAGAACATGTCTGTAATAGGACACGGTGATGTTTATTTTGTGAAACTGACACATGCGGTAACAGATCTTGGTCATTTGCAAACCACCCTTCCTTCCCCAGACTCCTCCCTGCCTCCAAGAGTCCGCCTTCTAGATTGCTATCATCTCTCCTTTATTTTATTTAATTTTATTTTTATTGGTACATAGTTGTAGTACATAATGAGTACATTCATTGTGGGGCGTCAGCATGTGTACATTACTTATTTGTTTTTTCATTTCTTTCCCTGCTCTTCTACCTCTTGGTTCCCTTCACTTTTGCAAAAGATGTACATCCCTGTTTCCTCTGTTCTGTCTTTTATTTCGTTTTTTAATTTAGGTATGCTTTGGGTTCCTCATATAAGAGAAATCGTGATACTTAAGCTTATGAGTCTGATATATTTCACATCCATCTTGCTACAGATGTCATTTATTTATTTATATTTTAGGTTTCTCAGAAAAGAAAAGGTAATATTTCTGGGGCTGGCTTATTTTGCTTAGTATGATGGCCTCAAGTTCCATCTACAATGGTGCCTTGGTTCGTGAACTTAGTTTTGTTTCAGGATTTTGGAAAAGATGGCCGTGTTTGTGTTTGGTGGGAAAGATGACTGTGGTCGTTTGTCACTTATGTGGAGTTTGAAAACAAAAATAAATTTTTTTTGTTTTTTTGTCTTTTTTGAGACGGGGCCTCGCTGTGCAGTTCAGGCTGGCCTTGAGCTCACTTTGTAGCCCAGGCTGGTTTCAAACTCACAAAGATCCTCCTACCTCAGACTCCCCAGTGCTGGGATTATAGGTGTGAGCCACCACGCCCGGCTCACAAAAATAAAATTTTGACAAGCCAAATTGTTTGCAAACAAAAGTGTATTTTTTTTTAAATTTTTTTTTATTTTATTTTTTTTAACAACAAAAGTATCTATGAACCAAAGTGCCACTACATTTTTTCTACAAATGACAGCCTTTTTGTTTCTTTCTTTCTTTCCTTTCTTCCTCTTAAGACCGGATCCAGCTATGTAGTTTACATTGGCCTTGAACTTACTATGTGGCCCAGGCTGACCTTGAGCTTGAGATGATCCTAGGAATCACAGGTTTGCACCACCATACCCAGCAATTTCATTCTTTATGACTAAATAATATTCTACTGTGTATATTATACCTTATTTTCTTTAGTCATTCTGATGCTGACAGGCCATTTCCAGAGCTTAGCTGTTGTGAATTGTGCTATGGTAAATGTGGGTGTGTATATGTCACCCTATTATGATGTACTTAATTCTTTCAGATACACCAGGAGAGGTATATCTAGGTCAAATGGTATTTTTATTTTTAGTTGTTTTGTAGAATCTCTTTACTGATTCTTTTTTTTTGGTTTTTTTCCTTTTTATCGGTACCGGGGATCGAACTCACAACTGCCTGCTTGCAAGGCAAGTGCTTATGCCACTGAACTAAATCCCCAGCCCCTGATTCTTTTTTGGTTGTGTGTTTATTTATTTTTTGTGACTGTCTCACTGTGTAGTTCAGATTGGTCTTGAACTCCCTGTGTGGTCCAGACTGTGGTGATCCTCCTGTCTCAGCCTCCAGAGTGCTGGGATTACATGGTGTCCCACTGTGCCTGGCTTTCATGGCGTCTACAGTACTAGCTTATGTTCCTACCAGCAGTGTAGGAGGGTCCCCCCCACCCGCTCCTCATCAGCACTCATCTTCTTTGTGCAGTCTTGATGGTAGCCACTCTGAGGCATGATGGTGTCTCAGAGTTACTTTGATTTGTGTTTCCCTGGTAACTAAAGACGTTGAACATTTTTTTGCCTGTACTTGTTGGCCATTTGTGGTTCTTCTTTTGAGAAATGCCTATTCATTTCAGTTTCCTGTATTTTAGTGGTTTTTATACTTTTTCACTTCAATCAGCAAGCGTCTATTACGTGCTGACTGTGCTAGGTACTGCTTCAAAGGACCAGAAATACAACGGTGGAAAAACAGACCTAACACCCTCCCTACCCTAACACCCAGATCCTCTTTTCTGCTGGCACCTGAAGTCCTTTTCTGCACTCCACTCTGAGCCCTCTCCTGTCCCCTGGGCAGCGCCACCTGGTCACCACACCCTGCTGTTGGCTTCTCATATACATGGGTATGTCCCAGCTCTGATCTCTCTGTGGCGTCTGGGCTGGTATATGCAGCGTGCAGATGATCTCCATTTGGATGTCCTATGAGGATCTCAACTTCAGCGAGTCCTAACTTTGAACTTCTTTCCCCACTACCTAACTACCAGAAATTCATCTGAATCCAAATGCCTCAACCAGGAATCTAGATGCCACCTTGAATCCTTTCTGCTGCTTCCTCCTGTGTCTATCCTTCTTCATTCTCATGGCAGCTACTTTAATTCCAGGCTGTGTTTGCTGTTCTGTGAACCTTCTAACTGGCTTCCCTGACTCCTTTTTTATCCTTCTCTAATTTCTTTTTTTATAGAATAGCAAGAACAATTTACCTTAAAGGCAAACATCATTCTGTTATACCTCTGCAAACGACGTTTAATAATTCCCCATTGCCTTCCCCACCCTTCATGATCCGGTCCCATTTTCTTCTCCAGTCTTGACATTCATCTTCCTGTTATTTTCCAGCTCCAACATCCACACCCTATTCTGAGCATTAGCCATGTTGTTCTGCTCTAGGAACTTTGGGTCTATTCCTCTATCCATGGGCAAGGACTGTTTCCTCTTCTCTGTATCCACAATGTACACTTGGGTTCTAGTAGGTGCTCAATAAATAATTTGCTGAAAAAATGGCCTTGGAATTTCATAGCATAGGTGCCTAGCATCTTTTTTTGTTTTATATTCAGATTATAATCCAGAGTCGTCTGGATCAGAGTGTGGAGGAAAATCAAGACCTGAAGGTATGTCAGAACATGTACATTTTACTATATGAAAAAAATACATGACTGTTATGCAGCATGTTCAGGACAATTCTTAGGGGAAGAAAAAGAATGCAAAATTGGAGCATTAGCTGAATCTGTGTCATGTCTTTAATGGAAAGATGCATGCAACATGTCAAAAGAGTTGCACTTAAAAAAAAAAAGGAGCTTTTTAATCTTGACGTTGAGTAACCAGTGTCTGTTATTAGTCAAACCTTTCTATATGTTTGAAATATTTAATTAAAAATAAAACTGAGGCTGGGTATGGTGGCACACACCTGTAATCCCAGCACTTGGAGACTGAGGCAGGAGGATTGCCAGGAGCTTGAGACCAGCCTGGGCTACATCGTGAGTTCAAGGCCAACCTAAACTACAAAATGAGACCCTGTCTCAAAAAAAGAAATAAAAGAAAAAAACTAGACTTTTTAATGAGTATCTCCCAGAATTCTCCTAGGTCAGGGTATTACATTTTGGGGGATCATTGATGTATAATTAAAGCCATTAGCTCTCTCCCCAGTAATATGCACACATACTCAGAACCTGAGTTTTTATTAGAATAACCCTTTTTTGGGGAGTGGGGGATACTGGGAATCAAACTCAGGACCTCGTGTTTGCCAGGCAGGTGCTGCACCACTGAGCTAAGTCCCAAGCCCTAGAATAACCTTTATTTTTGTGGTACTGGGAGTTAAGCTTTGGACCTTGCATAACCAGGCAAGCACTCTATCACTGAGCTTTAAGCTCAGTCCAAGCAGTGTAACTTTTGAGCCCTTCTCTGCAGTCCAGATTAAGAATTCTGTTTTCAAAGGATCTTAGCTACTCTGGAGGATGAGGCAGAAGGATCATAAATTCAAAGCCAACGTGTGCAATTTTAGCAAGACCTTGTGTCAAAATAAAAAAGTACATTTGAGGCCTGTCCTAGTTACATAGGGTGTTCAAGGTTATCATGAGATCCTCTCTCAAAAACAAGCAAACAAACAAAAATAAATACATAAAAGGATCAGGATGTTGCATTTGTCTAACATGCATCAGGTTCCAGGTTCAATGCCCAGTACTGCACATTAAAAAAGAATTTCATTGTCTTTATACAGAGTACTTGTGTGATGCATTAGGAAAAGAAGAGAGCAGAATCTGGGTTAAAATCTCCTTTTTTAGTGACAATCATAGATATAGTTAATCTGTTGTAAGAGAAAAGTAGTCAGTATTTCACAATCAGGCCAAATGTGGTTTAGTTTGGTTCACAAAGAACAGTGCCTTAGAGAATCCAAAACCTTCCAACACTTTTCTGAATGCGGCACCTGAGATAACGATGCAGGGACACTGGGGTAAGCGTATGTAGATACACACTTCAGTGAGAAGGCTCTAGATTACCACGATTAGGTTTTCCTGTTGGCAAAGATTCCTTGCTGTAGGGAGCCGGTGGGAATGTACAGAGTGTCTTCTCCGTTGGCAAAGCTCCTCTCTACCTGGACAGTAGAGCAGGGGCCTCAGAGAACAACAGAATGGGCGTGTTCCTGTTTCAGTGGGTCCTGCTTTCTGCCTCAGTAGAGGGCTAGTCTTTCATGGAACAGTCGACTGGGCTTTGTCTTCGTGCTGACTGAGTGAGGTAATGCTTCTGAAGCAACCCAGATGCCACCATCTGACCTAACTCTATTTGGTTTCAGAAAGAACTGCTGAAATGTAAACAAGAAGCCAGAAATTTACAAGGGATAAAGGTAAGAGGGAGATAGCTCCTTCTTCAAAGTCTCGGTAAGGTGAAGTAGTCCATTGGTGAGCAGGAGAGTTGGGTTCTAGGAGGATCATTGGGGTTTGCTGGGGGTCTTTTAGCAGGCTCCGTGCTGCTGACCAAGGAAGGGTTTGGTGGGCAAGGAGTGAGGCGTGTGGAAGTGGATCTGCTTTGCGAAGGCTGTGTCTGGTTGTTATGACTCACGATGGCGCCCCTTCCCGCTGTGGGGGTGTGGCCTCCATTCTCTCTCTAAGTTGTAGTTTACTTACTTTTGGAATAGTTAGTAATAATCCACATTTTTACCAAATTATAAAAAGACTATAAATACAGCTTTATTCCTGGCTTCTTTCTCATAACAGTATATTTTGGAAGCCTGGCGTGGTGGCTCACGCCTGTAATCCCAGCACTCGGGGGGCTGAGGCAGGAGAATCATTGCGAGTTCAAGACCAACCTGGGCTATAGAGTGAGCTCAAGGCCAGCCTGAACTGCATAGTGAGACCCTGTCTCAAAAAAGTCCAAAAAAAACCCAAGTAAACAAAAACAAAATAAACAGGGTATTTTGGAGATCATTCAGTTTCAGTAAAGGCCTTCCTAGGTCTTCATACAGCTGCATAGTATCCCATATTTATATCATAATGTATTTAATCAGTCTCCTGTTGATGGTATTTTAGGTTCTTTCCAATATTTTGCCAGGACAATGATCTAGCTAAGCACCTTGATCCTATGTTGCTTCCTCCAGCAGGACTATGTCTGCTTAGTAAATACCTAGAAGTAGAAAAGACACCATTCTTCTCTTTTTCCCTGCCTATCAGACAAGCTTAGAATATAACTCAGTAATATGTTTCCAAAGTGTACTCTATCATAAAAGTTTAGAATTATTAGTCACAGAACTACCTTTTGTCCCATGTAACTCATTAACATCTGATGGAGTGCAATTTGGAAATAATCCTCTAACATACGCCAGGGACATCTTCGACTGCCCTTGTCGTGTGCGGTTCTGGCAAACAGCGTGATTAAGAATGGACTCACATATTCCGCATAGCTTACACTATCTATTTGCAGTCTGTGAAGAGAGAAATGTCTTGAGTTCTATTTGAAGTCATTGTTGTTAGAGGAATGTGTTACAGTATGTACAGCCTGCCTACCTCTTCTAAGGCATAGTAGGAAACAAGAGGGTCCGAGCTAAGGCAAAGATAGTTTAAAGCTGGTCAGATCCTAGGAAATTGAGAAGAGGTACCATCATTCCCAGAGGACTTCTGAGCAAAGGGACTATAATCCCAGTCCTGGGCCAGAGGAGGCAGTGGAGGCCAGTGGAAGCGGGGCAGCAGCTGACTCTGGAATCCAGAGATTCTAGCGATTCCTTGTGAGCAGTGCCGGGAGCGGGATAGAGCCATCTCTAGCAAGTTGCAACTGGATACAGAGATAGAAGGAAAAAGCGCTAAATTACATTAAGTGCTTACATGCCTGTGTGTAGATAAGAAAGCCAGAGTGGGAGGAAGAAGAGGGTGTTGTCAAAGGTCAATGTCACCGAAGTAGGAAGTGGTAGATGGGTAACTGGAGTCCAGGTCTGTCTGCTCCGTGGCTCTCATTCTCTGTGAGGCACGATGCTGTCAGGAATGAGTACAGGGAGGATGAACAGCGGCCCACAGCCTAAGACAGTGGATAGGATTTTCCTTTAGTTGCTGTGGTCGCAGAGGAGGACAGAAAATCCCAGCTCAGCAGCTTGTGGCAAGATCCTTATACTCCTTTTGTTTCCCAGTTTGCCAGAACTAATGCACAGTAAAGGGTTTAGTAACTTGTAATAACTGGCTGATTGAGGCTGTAAAAATTCTATGCTGCTTTTTCCCAGGATGCCTTGCAGCAGAGATTGACCCAGCAGGACACATCTGTTCTGCAGCTCAAACAAGAACTGCTGAGAGCAACTATGGACAAAGATGAACTACATAACCAGAATGTGAGTTAAATGCGTGAACTCTGACTTCAGGGGTCCCCACTAGCCAAACAGGATGGCGCGTAGGTTCCGTTAGAGCTGCCATCCTTAGCTCTCTTAACTTGCTTCTGGAATTCCTGCCCTCCGTGTCTGCAATTATTTATATCCTCCATCAGATACATTTCTGTTTCTAGTGGAAGCCCATAGCATGCTGGAAAGCAAGGTCCTTAACTCCTTCTGTGTCAAGGAAACTGAGGTTAGATAGTTGTTTTACAGTCTGATGATCTTACCAAAGAGATGGAGAGCAGCTGTGTGGTTTTTATCACACCCATGCTGTTCCTGTGGTGTGCAGTTCAACTGGCAACATTAACCCCAGTCACAAGGGGGTTGACGTACAACACCCCCATGCCAGTGATTCCTTTCTTACCCTTGCAGGTGGATCTACAGAGGAAGCTAGATGAGAGGAACCGGCTCCTGGGGGAATATAAAGTAAGAATGAGTATTGCTTTGGAAGTGACTTCCGCGTGGCCTTTTATGAATGGCCCATTGTTACTGGGGCTCCTCTTTCCTCATCCTTGCATTCTGGAAAGAAACCTTTTAAAAATGTCCCTTCAGTCCCCATCCCTAAAGAATGGGTAGCAGAGCAGGGAAAAGTCTGGAAGCTTAGGTGGCAGGTTACCTAGGAAGCATCGATAGCACACACTCGTCCTTCACACAGAGCTCTCCTCCTCTTCACCCTTCCAAGGACCCTTTGTACTGTGTGAGACTTACGGTGTGTCAGGTCTTCCTGCTGGGGCTTGAGCAACAGCCTGTCCCTCTGAGGCTCTGCTTCACTTGAGCAGAAAACACATCGCAAAAGCTGTTCTGCCCCTTGTCGGCTGCACTGCGTCTCAAAGCTGTGTCTCCCTTGCAGAAAGAGCTGGGGCAGAAGGATCGGCTTCTCCAGCAGCAGCAGGCCAAGTTGGAAGAAGCACTCCGGAAACTCTCGGATGCCAGTTACCAGCAGGTCACAGCACGCTCAGCCACTGACTTGCCTGCACCTTTGACCTGAAGGAGCTTTCTTCTAATTTAATCTCTGCTTTGCAGGTGGATCTAGAACGGGAGCTGGAACACAAAGATGTCCTTTTGGCTCACTGTATGAAAAGAGAGGCAGATGAGGTAACCTAGAATGTGGGTTCTCCCTTCCACGTTACGAGACAAAGAGGTGGATTCTGTTTTTCGTGCAGAGCTGAACCAAGGCACAGGCTGGTTTGTTAGGAGGCTGTACGGGGTGAGAAGTACAGACTGAAAATCTGACTTCAACTCTAGCTTTACCCCGTATGACCTCATCGCATGACCTGAAGATGGCGATAATGCCAGCATAACCCACATAAATAGCAGTACAGTTCTATTAGATCCACCTGGCCGAGTCAAGCACAAAAACTTAATCGTTGTTCATTATAAAGCACAGCCAGGAGGGGCAGGAGCAGCATTCTGATGTTTACCGCTGGCTGTGGCAGAGGGTAATTTGGGGACCCCTGGCTGAGGTCTCTGTTTCATTATAAAGCCTGCCCACTGTCACATGCAGCATCGGTGTAGCAGTGAGCAAAAAGGAACTGTCTGCACCTGAAACTTACATTTTAATGGAAACATTAAGCAGATGAAGAGTTGTACCCTAAGCCAGGTGTGGTAGTGCACACCTGTAACCCTAGCACTTGGGATCGTGGTGAGTTTGAGGCCAGCCTGAGCTAAATATGCAGATCCTGCCTCAAAAAACCAATAATAATGGGCTGGGGATTTAGCTCAGCGGCATAAGTGCCTGCCTTGCAAGCACGCAGTTGTGAGTTTGATCCCTGGTATCAATAAAAAAAAAATAATAGTGCTATGACAGGAAGGGAGGATAACTATAAAGAAAAAAATATGACAGGCAATTTGGTTCCGAATTATTTGTTTACCAAGCACTTTCTTCTTGCTATTGTAGGTGACCAGCTACAACAGTTACAACTCTCAGAGCAATGGCTTTCTTATTCCAACGGCGGGGAAAGGAGCTGCCTCCATCACTCACAAAGGGGTCGGTCCTGGTTAGAGTGCGCGTCTGCCGCGTCCAGCCGAAACCAGAGCAGTGTCCTGGCTCTCAGCGCTGGGCCGGCCTTTACATTCCAGGCCCCTACCTGCTTTTTCTTTTCTTCGCCTCTCTCTCTCTCTCTCTCTCTTTCTCACTCTTTAGTTTTCTCTCTTCCTTTTCCTTCCTTCCATATTGGAAATTGAACCCAGGACCTCCATGTGCTAGCAAAATGCTCTATTGCTCAACTATATCTCAAGATTGGGCCTTGCTAAGTTGCCCAGGCTGGCCTTGAACTCAGTATCTTCTGCGTCAGCCTCCTAGGTAGCTGGGAATATAAACGTGCATCACCATGCCACTCCCAGCCCCCTAATTCTTGCATCTGTAAGGTGTGTGAAGAGGTGAGGCACTACCCGTTGAAAACTAGGAATTAGTGGACTGAGTATGGGCTTATTTCCGAAGAGAAAAAATTCCCTTCACAAAAATAGAGGATCCTTTCTAGATCCTTTCTAGGCTTCGTCTGTTTATGCCTACTGCTAGGGCTTGGGGGATAACATGGCACTGCACCATGCCGGTAGCTCCTTCCTTTGCCCACAGACCAGCGACCTGCAGCTTGTCCGAGACGCTCTGCGCAGCCTTCGCAACAGCTTCAGCGGCCACGACCCGCAGCACCACACCATCGACAGCTTGGAGCAGGGCATCTCCAGCCTCATGGAGCGCCTGCGCGCCATGGAGACGCAGAGGAAACAGGAAAGAAAGGTGCCGCTCCCACCGGGTCTCCCCAGGGAGCTTGGTGGGGACCCGCGTGTTGATGTAGACGAAGGCATCACTAAAAGATATGTGAGATCTTGCTGAAATTTCGTTGGCTTTCTCTTGGTTTCCTTCTGCGTGGAGCTGGCTTCATCGTGGTAAGACGATCCTAGGAAGGAATTCCTGGTGACTTGCCTTCAGTGGCTGTGTAGCCAAGGTCTCTACCGCACTTTCTGCCCCGCTCTCCCTCACACGGGCTTGGTGTTGAGTGAGAAAATATATGGAGAATGCACTGGAAACCAAAAAGCCTTTTGTAAATATACATGACTATGATTAGGATAGAGGGGATCCTGCTACGGTGGAAGAAGAGGTGGTAGAAAATTACGTAGTTCAGGTTGCCCTTTATGGTTTAAATGTCTTGTTTAAGTGCTTCGATCTTAAGTCTCGTGATTTTTGTTTGGCTCCCCAGGTCCGGGGCAAATCACCCAGAAGTCAAGCAGGTAGCGAATACCGGGAGTCCTGGCCTCCTCATTCAAGTAAGTACTGATTACTGCTCAGCAAGGACTCCTGGCACATTAGACCAGACTAGTGTTTGTCATGCTCCCAGAACCTCGGGGAAGGACTTTTCTGGTTTCCTTAACAGTATTAGAGTTGTGTCAGTTCTGTGACTGTGAGGACTGTGACTCAGCCTGAGTTTTAACCACATGCCAGGAAACACTGACTTGGGTTAGCTGTCTGGAAAATAAAGTTCAAAATATTTAAAACAAAAATACGCACAGAGCTGGGTGTGGTGGTGCATGTCTGTAACACCAGCTACTCAAGAGGCAGGATTGCAACTCTGAGGCCAGCCTGAGCAACTGAGTGAGATCCTGTGTGAAAATTTTGAAAAAACTGGAAAAGGACTGGGAACACTGCTCAACAGTTGCTCCCCCTTAGGTTCTGTTCCTAGTACCTAACACACATGCACGCGCGCACACACACACACACACACACACACACACACACACACACACCATCCTATAGTCCCAGATAGCACACGTACCAAAAAGTCCACTTTTCTGTAGATGCACGAAGTCTTTGGAGCTTTTCCTCCAAGCGTTGAGCTCAGTTTAAGTCCTGCAAGTGTTTGCACCACCTAGTGGCTGCGAAGAGAGAATATGTTTCCATCTGTCTCCCATTCACTCCTTGTACACCGCCCCCATGTCAACTCACCGCAAATCTACCCTGTCTGCCAATGTCTGGTTTAGTTTACATCTTACCTTTCTGGTTTAATACATTTGCTTAATTTTTTACACAGGCCCAACCTAAAGCTATCTAAATAATTTATAAAAACCAAATATAAGGGCAACCCATTCAGGACTCCTTCTGTCTCTGTCTCAGATAGAAACTTTCTTTCTCTTAATAAATATAGTCTGCTGTTAAAAAACAAACAAATGGGCTGGGGATTTAGCTCAGTGGCATAAGCTCCTGCCTTGCAAGCGCACAGTCCTGAGTTCAATTCCTGGTACCAATAAAAAAAAACAGGCTGGGGATTTAGCTCAGTGACCTAAGCACCAACCTGGCAAATGTGAGGTTGCAAGTTCAATCCTGGTACCAAAAACAAACAAACAAAAAACCAAATACAAAAAGCTGACCAGCTTTATGTGACAGTGCATGCCTGTAATCTCAGCACTCAGGAGGCTGAGGCGGGAGGATCGCTATCTGTTCAATGTCAGCATGGGCTCCATAGTGGGTTCAAGGCCAACCTGAACTACATAGCAAGATCCTGTCTCAAAAAAAGAGCAAATGCTGACTAAAACTAGTTTGCAATGTAACGTATAAATTTTTTTTTAATTTAAAAAAACAAAACAAAACAGTAAAAGGGTACAAGTAATACAGAATTTCCAAAAAAATAAACAGTAAGAAATCACTAGTTGGGGCTGGGGATTTAGCTCAGCGGCATAAGCGCCTGCCTTGCAAGCAGGCAGTCGTGAGTTCAATCCCTGGTACCAATAAAAAGACAAAAAAAAAAAAAAAAAAAGATACAGCATGATAAAAGCAATGGATACAGAAGAACAACAGTTTGATGGGACTTCAAAACAAGATATAAAAAATTTTAAACCCATATTAAATAAAAATTTAAAAATTTTTAAACCATAAAAATTTTAAAACCATATTAAAATACAGAACCTAGCCAGGCATGGTGGTATATGTCTGTAATCCCAGCACTCCAGAAGGCTGAGGCAGGCAGATCTTAAGTTTGAGCACAGCCTGGACACTTGGTGAGATGATGTCTCAAAATAAAAATAAAAGTAAATTTTTTTACTTCATACCTCTCTCTGTGTGGCTTCAAACCACCTAGATGCGGTTCCCCCAAACCTTAATCGTCTCAGCTCTTCTGCTGAAGCATTGGCCTTCACAGTGACGGCTGCTTTGCTCTCCCCAGGGCTGTGCGGCAGCCTGCTTGCATCCCTCAGTGAGGGGAGCTGCTCCGGTCTTGTTTCTGGCGGCATTTCTGCACCTGCTCACTGACCAGTGTCCACATTTATCGAGGCTGGCAGTCAGGCAGAAGCTCTGGTTCTTCTCTAGGTGGAGCAGCACAGAGCAGCCCTCCTGGGGTCACCCAGGGCTGTTTGCTGAAGCTGATCCTGGGTGGTGCTCGGCCCCAGCATTACCCCAGCCTTCTAGGGGCTTCCAGGCTCTGTCGGCGCAGCTGTGGCCGTGGCTCACGTTGCCCTGAAGTCTGCAGGTCTTCTTCAGTCTGGTTGGCATCCTGGAGGCTGAGACAAAGGAGGCCAAAATAAAAATAAAGAGCTGAAGATGGAGTTCAGGACAAGACCTTGCATTCAGTCCCTAAAACCGCGAAACAGTGACAGCAGCAGTAGCCATAGTCGAGAGCCAAGTAAACAGCAGAGCCACACCCAGGTGTGCTAAAGATTGAAATCATCAAACAAGAAATTTAAAGCACAGTAACCGTGATGCAGTACGCATCCATAAGCCTGGCACTGGGGAGGCTGAGGCAGGAGGATCCTCACGAGTTTGAGGCCAGCCTGGCTACACAGTGAGATCTGACTCAACCAAAAATAACTATAACCAACTATAACTATGATTAAAATGTTAAAAACTGTAGTGAGAATGTTGACATCATGCATATATAGATACGGGCCTTTTTCTTTTTCTAATAATGACTATTTTAAGAAGTAAAGTACAAAAGCTAGACATAAGAATAAATGAAGATTGCCTTCAACAAACACCTCAGTAGCCTCAACAGAGCTGAGGAAAGAACCAGAAAACTTGAAGGAAGGAAGGAAATTACCCAAACTTGTACACAAAGAGGAAAAGAGTACGGGGCAGGACACAAGTGAGCGCATCGGTACCCGCGGAAGGGCTAGCAATGGGACTGGGGTCCAGCTGAGGGTCCAGCAGAAGTCAGGCCCAGGATCGAGCCCAGCACCTGGAGGAAAAGGGAACGTGAGGGAAAAAATACCACAGAGATTAAAAGTGGAAAGGTGGTATCCACGAAGAAAAGCAAGGACGGGGCAGATGGGATACTTGAAGGACTAACGGCCAAAATTTTTCAAAAGAATAGTAGAAGACATCAAACAACAGCCTCAAGCAGCTTGGAGAACCTCTAGAAGGATGAGTGATAACCACGTTCAGATGGCTGAAAATCAGCAGAAAGAATCTTGCGGCAATCAGAAGGGAAAAATCATTATGTGTTTTTAGAAGAACAAAGATAGGAATGAGAGCAGAATTCTCCTCAGAAATTATGCAGGCTAGGATGGGGGGGGACATCTTCACAGCACTGAAACGAAAACAAATTCCTTTAATCCTAGAATTGTATGCCTAGAGAACAATCCATTTTTTAGATAAAAACTGGGAGACTTTCTTGTAAGTAGACCAAAAGAAAAAATGTTAAAAGAATTTCTTTAGGCAGAAGAAATACAGTACTAGAAATAAATTGGTCTCTACGGAAAGAAATGGTTAAATGAGGTCGGTATTTTTTTAAGGTCAATATTAAAGGCTATTACTTTTAATTAACTAGAAGATAAAATTGTTGGGGTCTGTGCCTAGACCCCCCACCCCCCAAATGGGTACATGGTGAAGGCCCAAAGGAATGTGGCAAGTGACGTGGTCTTTAGGGCTCCAGGAGGACTAAAATCCTCTGCAGAGCTTGTAACGCTGTTAGCTGACCGGCTGACTGACCCTGGGCGGCCGTATTTAATCAGAACAAGCAAGGAGTTGAGTGGAAAACACAGGAAACCTGGGCAGGACCTTGGGAGAGGCTCAAGGACCCCTCAGAGCAACAGACGGTGCTAATTAAGGAAGACTGTCCAGAACCTCTCCAGGTGGCCTCAGCTGGGACCTGTCTTGCCCCCTGAGGTGTCTCCTCATTCTCAGTTCACCCGTGCCCGGGCCACGCCACAGCCCTGCATGTGTATTCAGCCTTAGTGGCTCCAGCATAAATTGTTTAAAGCAAAATAGTATTGCTGTTTGGTGCCTGCATGGCATGTGAGAAGTAAAATGCATGACTGTATTAGCACAAAATTGGGGAGGGAGGAGTTCAGATTATACTGTCCTAAGTTCCTTACCCTGCGGTAAAGCCATGTGTTATTGTTTGAAAGTTGGGCCTGGACCATATGAATGGATAAAGAAAATGTGGTGTTTATACACAAGGGAGAACCACTCTGCCATAAAGAAAGATAAACTTGAGGCATTTGTCGGTAAATGGGTGCACCATAAGACCATATTAAGCAAAAGAAATCAGACGCACAGCTTAACTATTGCATCTTATACGAGAAACCCAAAATATAAATAAAGACCAGAATAAATGAGAGATGCTAGGCAGGAGGGAGACCCTTCTCACATGGGAAGGAGCACACGAGGTGGAGAGGGGAGGGAAGGGGAATGGGAGGAAAAATGGAAACTGAGGTTCCATAGACGGGAAGCGGATAGAAGGAGCAGATGGGAGGGTTAACAAAAAAGGATTAAAATGTGTCCTGGACATGGAGGGAGCAGCTCCCCCTGGTAAGTGTAACCTTTGTGTACTGCAAACATGTACTAATACAAAGAGAAAGAGAAAGTCGGCCGGAAATCAGCCCAAGGGTAGAATGTGTGCTTAGCACGTCCAAGGTGCTAGGTCCAATCCCTAGCACCAATAGAAATACAAAGGGTTCTGTGACTACTTAAAACACAGTCCTAAGTCTAAGAGCAAACACTAAATTTTTCAGACTAACAGATAAGTTGATAGTAGAGATAAAAAGAATTCTAAACATATTCAATCTAGTACCAAAAATAAGGAATATGAAAATCTTGTTGTTAAAATATATCTTGTGTTGGAATGACACATCCAAGTTGAAAACGCATGGCACGCTGGACTTTGAAGACCATGTGGAGGACAAAGAAAAAAGGAAAACGTACAATTCTTAAATCAGACTAGGCGTGGTGGCTCATGCCTACAATCCCAGCACTTGGAAGGCTGACGCAGGGGGACTGCTGTGAGTTCAAGGCCAGCCCGGGCTATCTTTTTCTTTTTCTTAATCCAAACAGACAAAGT